GACTGTGTTTGTGAAGACATTTTGTAAATTGCACAGAGCTCTATAAATCTGAAGGCTTGTCACTCCCTCCAACCCCCTTAAATACAAACAATTTGGGAAGAAACAGCAGTGATACTGACTCTACTCAACACAGGTAAGAATGAAAGATTACAAGAGTTACTGATCTTCTTCAGAAAGACACTCACCCTGTAAGGAATCAGTCGGATTCACATTGGGGGACTCACACTGCACACTGTTCTTTGCTGCTTTCACGCCTCAGAAACCACCTTTCGTCAAGAATCCAATGATTTCCCTTGGCTCTTAAGACAAAAGCCAAATCCTGCACAGGGCAGCCAGGACCTTGCCTCACTGCCCTGCCTGCCTGCTCTCCCTGTCCCTTCTCTCTCATCAGGACTTCAAACACGCTGCCCTTTCGGCTTCGTCTACTTAACATTTGTTCCTCCACAAAGTCACAGATGCTAGGCCTTCACCCAGAGACTTACTCCTTGAGCTCTCGGGCTAGTCTGCAGCCCTTCCTCGCTGGTTTGTATCCCAGTGGTTCCACTTCCCATCCAGCTCCCTGCTTGTGACCTGGGAAAGCAGTTGAGGATGGCCTGAAGCCCTGGGACCCTGCACCCGTGTGGGAGACCCAGAAGAAGCTCCTGGCTCCTGTCTGTGGATCAGCTCAGTTCTGCTGCAGCCACTTGGCAAGTGAACCAGCAGATGAAAGATCTTTCTGTCTCTCCTTCTCTCTGTAAATCTAACTTTCCAATAAAAAAATAAATAAATCTCTAAAAAACAAAACAGAACAAAACACCTAGTCTGCAGTCAATCTATGCTTCCTCCCTGGCTTCCTTGATTTGTATATTTGAAAGGCAGAGTTACAGAAACAGAGATCTTCCATCTACTGGTTCACTTCCCCAGATGGCTCCAATGGCTGCACCAGGCTGAAGCCAGAAGCCAGGAGCCTGGAATTCCCAAGCACTCGGACCATCTGCTTTTTCCAGGAATGCTGGTGTGAAAGTAGAGCAGCTGAGTCTTGAACCAGTGCTCATAATGGGACACCAGTGCTCATAATGGGACAGCAGCACCCAAGGCATCTGCTGAAGCTGCTGCACCATGAGGCCTGCCCCTAGTCTGCAGCAGTCTTATGGTACAACTGCACCTTTCCTCCTGGCCCTCTGCAGAGCTTTTAAGAACACGATCAATGCTTGACTGTTTGCCGACACTCTGCTGTCATGTTAACTCCTTAAGCTCAAGAGCTTCTTCAGTGTTATTTTATGTGGTCCTCATACCAGGTTTTCAAGGAAGTACTTATTGACTGAATAAATAAGCAGAATGCTCCACAGTGTCTTTGTTGGTAAAATGGTAATTACACTGCTTCCTTTGTACCTTGTGTTGAATTTTGCAAAATAATGCTGCCTAACTCCAAGACAAAGGCATCTGATGATCAAATATTGGAATCCCATATGCTAACACAGGATCAAAGTTAGGACTTAAAAGTGGTCATTTTGGTAAAGCCATCTTTTTGTTTTTACATCTTTGTCCAGCCTGAAGACTGCTTCTACCCACTTTGCAGTCAGGGCTATGAGGCACAGCTGCCCGGCTCAGGGCTCTGGCTGAGTAACCACAACAAGCCCCTGGCAAGCTGTGAGCCTGGCACATGACCCCAAGAAAGTCACAGCGATTTCTCAGTCTGCCTCCTGTGATGCATGCCCTCGATCTTCCTGATGAGTCTTGGTTCAAAGACAACTTCTCTGAGATTACAAAACTACTTTCCACACATCCACTCCATTTAAACATGATACATAGGCTGGCACAGTGCAGGCTAAGCCTCTGCAAAAAAAACACTGGCACCCCATATGGGCAATGGTTTGGGTCCTGGCTGTTCCAACTCTGATTCAGCTCCCTGCATATGGCCTGGGAAAGCAGCAGAAGCTAGACTAAGTCCTCAGGCTCCTGCACCCAAGTGGGGACCTGGAGAAGACTCCTGCATCTGGGCCTCAGACAGGCCCAACTTGTTTTAGCAGCCATCTGGGGAATGACCAAGCAAATGGAGGATCTATCTCTGTCTTTACTTCTTTAATTCTGCATTTCAAATAAAAAAATAAATAGGTCTTTAAAAAAAAAAAGGTACAATATGACAGTATCCTGGGACCAGGCTCACTGATCACAAAAGGAATTCCCTTCCTGGCAGCACAGCAGGGGATTTTATGGTGTTTGATTTTTGCTTGTTCAAGTTACCTTTCAGTTGCATATTCAGGGCCTGAGACCTGAGGCTGAGGGAAGGTTCCAGAAAGAAACACTCCTCCCAGAGGCTGCTCCCTTCTTCAGAGGACACAGGCCCCCGGGCTAACTGTGATTCCTCTCACATATCACCTGGCAGATACCGCGCAGGACTTGAAGCAAGCCTCGGTCTGGCAGAGGCAGGAGTCTAGGCCTGGAGGCCAGCTGGTGCCCAGCTCTCTAGCATGTTTGGGAACAGGAGGCCTCATGCACCCCTGTGTGGCAGGCGGGAAGGGGGTTGCAGGGAGTGCCTCGGCTAAGCTTTGAAGTAGCCCCGACTACAAAGGCTTGTCGGAAATTTACAGTGAATGGGAATCTCCAAATGCTGTTTGGCAGGCAGACTGCTCATTGTAAAGAATTCTCGGGTCATATATAAGCAAGATTTCAAAAAAACCCCTCAAACTCATGTGGAGGAGGTCAGGGGTCTTTGCAAAAGCTGTGATATTTACTCTGTACATGAGTGAGCTGGGAGTGTCTGCTAAGGCCGAGGTCCAGCAGTCTCACTGGTCATCCCAAGCACAGACTGGGCAGCTGGGGGCCACTACAAAGGCAGGTATTCAAGGGGAGCGTGGCCCTCAGGCTGCTCAGCTATTCCCACACCTGTCAGGGACCTTTCTTCCTCCTCATTGTCTCCTAGTAGTGCATTCCATCCAAAAAACTTAAGGCCACTGGGAAGCAACTCAATAGGTTTCCTGCCCCATCCATCTACAGATCTGTCTGCATCTGTGTCCCTTTTGGTCTCTTCCCTCAGCAGCCAAATAGAAGTGGCTCTTCTGAAAAAGTTGATTCAGTCTGCTGTATCTTGGGTTTGTCCCTCTGGCACCGCTGTCCTGTTCTACACACTCCTTGCCCGGCTGCTCTCCCAGGAAGGGCCCCTCTCCACTGATCGCACTCTCTCCATGGCCACACACTTTGAGAGACGAGGTATTATTGTTCCTTCCTCACTTCTCTTCATTCAAACCAACAATACCTAGTCACCATCTTGCTTGGCCTTTTCCCACCAGTCTACACCCGCTGCCATTCTCCTACAAGGGCCTTCCAGGGGCCTGCCCTGCCTGGCTCTCCTCCCAACCTCTGCTTCATCTCTTCTGTTATTCTGTGCTGCAGAGTGGCAGCTGTCCAAGGCCGGGCCTGAAACCACCCTTGGCCTCTTTCACGCGCTCGGGAACCTCGTCTTCTCATTCATCCAGCCGTTTGGATATTTATTTAGGATCTCACTGTGTTGACAGGTACTCCTGGTGTCTGACTACCAGGAATCTCGACCTGGTTGGAAATCATTTAAAGAAACAAATGCAAATTCTCATTCCAGAGCTGTATGAGGAGGCTTCCCGGGAGCTCTAACTAAATCATGAGAGGGAGAAGAGAATGTGTGGGAGGATTAGGGAAGGGAAGGTGGGAGCTGCTGGCAGAAAAGTAGCACGCACACACAGAGCACAGGGCTTTGCAGTCGGGCACCTGAACCCCATGCCATGCCGTGTCGAGGGCTCTCTGCCTGCACTTCTGTAACATGAACATGACAATCCTCGTTCATATGGTTGCTGTGAAGGTTACATAAGAATGACAAACTTAGTGCAACGCCTGGAATTGAGTGATTTTTCAATGATAACCATTATGATTACTGTACATACACTTGTAACTTTCAAATACATTTTACAACCATGACAAGGACACTAGAACCCACTTCTTAGGCTTGCTGTGAAGACCAAATGAACCAATAAATGTAAAAGCACTTTAACAAAAGCATAGCACAATATGATTCGGCCATAAAAAGGAGCAAAGCTCTAATTCCTGCTATAACATGAGCGAGCCTTGAAGACATTACGTTCAGTGAAATAAACCAGACACTCAGGGATAAATACTTTATGACTCCACTTATCTGCTGTACTTAAAATAGGCAAACTCACAGACACAGAAGTGGAATAGAGGTTACGGGGGGGGGGCAGGAGGAGCAAGGAGGGGTGGCTGGCTAGTGGGTACAGAGCTTGGAATGATGAAAGTGATTTACAAATGTACAAGTAGCAGTAATTGTACAACACCGTAGACTTATTTAACGCCACTGAATTGTACACGGAAACGTGATAAACTTTAAGCACAGCAGAAAGGAAAAGTTACTGCTTGTGCTGTTGGCAACACTGAAACCCACCAGCATCCCGAGGTAACCAGCAAGAAATGAGGACATTTTCCCTGCTTAGGTTTATTGCACTGATATTTTCAGAGTTTTAGAAATAAGATATTTATATCCTATATATATAACATGCATATTACATATATATTTATGTATTTGTAAATAATTTATTTTATACTCAAATGTATACTATATATGACTAAATATCATATTAATATGGCACATATATAAATATAAATACAAACTTTTCAGAGACAGAATTAATAAAAGGTTGGTGTTATAATTAGCCCCAAAGCCAGACAGCTGGTCTACCTTCCACATAAAGGAGTCTAACAATTTTATTCCGTTTCTGACCTTGGATCAGATCCAAGATGGCTTGCTTTCACCAAGTGCTTCTCTCTGGTAAACAGCTGTATGGTGTTCTTAGGAGACATATACTTGTGTTTGAAAATTTATAACCTAATGAGGATGTAGACATGGATATGCAAGTGGCTTCACACCAAGACAAGCCTAGCATTTAGAAAACCAATGCTTAGATACCACAGTGACACAAGCTTAGAAAAGGGGCTTTTTCATGAGGCCTTGGCAGTGACAGCCACGGCTCACTGACCTGTGTTCCCTGACTGTTGATGTCGATGGCATCACTCCACTCGGCTACTACTCTGTCTGTCAGTTCGACTCTCAAAAGCAGGCTAGGAAGTAGGTCCTTGGTCTTGCAGTCTGGGTAACTGGTGATCTGATGATACAGCTCATGATGAATGGAGCTCTCAGAAGGGATTTTTTTGCAGTAAAATTCAAACCTCGGAATATCTGAAATGTAAGGGGGAAAAGGTATATGCAGGCTCATTACCTTAAAGACAAAGATTCAGGGGTATTTCCCACACGTGGGAAAAGCAACTTCTCAAGGAGGCATGAACAGTATTTTCAAACAGACTTCATAAGATTTCAGGCAGCAGGCAGATCATAAATCTCCATGGAGAATATAAGTTTCATATTATCTGAATTAATGCTATAAAATACCTTTAATATTCTCCTTTAGAAGCACCGTTACTGGACATCTATTATGGACAATCACTCGAGGACTGGGGTCTTCCGAGAGGGTTAAATAAGTCACCCCAAGGTGTTCTTGATATGTCAGTGCTAGAGCCCTGGAACAAGCAAATCAAACACCGGGAATAGATGAGAAATACAATCCCTGGATTTACAGGATTCAGAACTCTAAAATACCTTCTGTTTTGTAACTCACAGGCCATGTTTTCCAGAGAAAGAAGCCACCTATCTTCTCACTTACTATCGTATACTAATGTAATGCATGCTGATTTTTTTCTGTTTAACGTATCATGAAATTAGAAAAACATAAATAGTTATTTAAGAGAAAAAGTGGGCCTGGCAGTATGGCCTAGTGGCTAAAATCCTCGCCTTGAACGCGCCTGGGATCCCATATGGGTGCTGGTTCTAATCCCGGCAGCTCCACTTCCCATCCAGCTTCCTGCTTGTGGCCTGGGAAAGCAGTCGAGGATGGCCCAAAGCCTTGGGACCCTGCCCTGTGTGGGAGACCCAGAAGAGCTCCTGGCTCCTGGCTTAGGTTTGGCACAGTACCAGCTGTTGTGGTCACTTGGGGAGTAAATCATCGACGGAAGATCTTCCTCTCTGTCTCTCCTCCTCTCTGTATATCTGACTTTGCAATAAAAACAAATAAATCTTTAAAAAGAGAGAGAGAGAAGAAATCAAGCTCAGTGGACGACAGCTCCAGCCAGTTGCAGCGAACCCTGTGCTAGCCCTTCTTGCTGTTCTGTCCCTCTGTGCATACGAGCCTCATACTCTTCACTCGGGGTCCTTTCTTAATCCTTGAGAGTACTTTGTCAATTTTGGTCAAAGGGGTGCTGAGAGCCTTGTAAGGGAAGCACTAGAGAATTCTGGTGTGTGTTCTTTTCATTATAAATGCAGGCAGCCTCCTAATGCTGTCCATTTTTGCAAGACAACAGCACTTACAGAATCTGTGTTGGGGCTTCCAGGAGCAAAGCTGTCTATTTGGAGTTGGGAAAAAACAGCATGCTCTCTATGACGGACACAGAAACCTATGGACTTACAAAATGGTATTTTGAATCACACAGGAGGACAAATTCCTGAAGTCTAACATGGACTGCTTGTCAATACTAATCCAAAAAGTCAGATGATTTCCCGAATGTGGGAAATCACAGTGTTGAGAAAGGTCAGTACGACATGGAAGGGCCTTGCCTCTACCATCCCGCCAACCTCAGTGAGCCCATCTGCCAGCCCCTCGGGTTGGCATCATCAGACACAGCACAGTGACTTGTCTGTTGGCCTTTGGCAAACACGCTTTCATAACACTGGCATTGTGTGCTGCTGGGTTCAGGGGAGGAAAGCAGTGTGGAGATGCGACAGCAAGAAATGAATTCATTTTTGGAATCTAGCTGTTGGACTGACAGCAAAGTTCTTTTTTTCCAGCCAGCCTAATTTTGAAAGAGGTGGGCCAGCTAACCTCAGACAATTTCCTTCTGATAGCCAAGGAAGTTGGGGCCAAGACCGACGACGATAAAAGCTAGCGTCATATTTATAGAGAAGATTAAATTATACTCTAATTCTTAGAATTTTAAACTTAATTTCCAACTCAACTTTTGATTTAAATTTTGTTTTTCAGTTTTACAAGCAAGTTTTGCTTTACAGGCATGAGTCCACACATCTTTCAAACACACTTCCTTATGCTCACCATGCTAAACATCTCCAACAGACTACAAGGCTAATCACTCCACTACAATGCTAGGGATTTTTGTAAATGTTGTGAAGAAAAACAAAAGAAAAGAAAAGCTGTGTGTAGGGCATATGACACCTTGCCATTACAAATCACTTAAGTTGCTATCTTCGAAAACACTATTAAAGGAGCCAAGCACTGTGGTGGGTGTGGGTTAGGCCACTGATGGTAATGCCAACCTCCCACCTGGGCACTGGTTTGAGTTTCACCTGCTCCACTTCCAATCCAGCTCCCTGCAAAGGCACCTGTGGAAGCAGCAAAAGATGACCCAAGTGCTTGGGTTCCTGCACCCATGTGGGAGACTTGGATGAACCGGCTGGTTCTGGTCTTCAGCCTGACCTATACCCAGTTGGCCTTCTGGGTAGTGAACCAGCTGATGAAAGATCCTGCTCTCTTCTCTTTTTGTAACTCTGCTTTTCAAGTAAATAAGCAAATCTTTAAAACTAAAACAAGTATTATTAAAAATCTCTGTATAACATTACAGAATCTCTGTGTAATATTACACATATATGAAAACAAACATTTGCACAATTTCTGTATGTCACTTTCAAAAAGATGAAGAAAAAAGTTAGCCTGGCTAAGACCTCAAAGTCAAGAGAATAAGGTACCTCTCATAAAGTTACAATATCTTTTCTTTTGTAGTTGCTACATATAGCATCGATATGTTATTCCTGACAGCTGGAGAAGAGCTGTATTGCATGCAAAACCACCAAGGCTAGTAGAACAAACCATTACGTGTCACTGGCTTGATTCTGTGGTTGTGATTTGCATAACTGATAATCAGGAATTAGAGCAGCTTGCATGCATGGACAACCACAGAATGGAGCCTTCTGTGACCTGGGTTTATCTTAACCTACCTATTTGAATGACTTTTTTTTTTTTTAAGAAAAATTCCATTTTGAAGTGAAATACAGGAAAATAAAAAGCGTTCCCAATTTGACCTTCTCATATTATTTCTCATCATTTTATAGAAGCTAAGAATACCTATAAGAAGGCAATCTTCTGCTATGATGTGTTGCTGCTCTCTGGTGGTACCCATGTCACTGCTCTCTCTGTTATAAGCTGCCATGAGACGAAGGCCTCATATAAGGTTCACTGGGTCCACCCACAAGTGATCCTAACATCTGGCCAACTGTATACAATGTGAAGAAGCCATTAAAGAGAAAAAGCAGAGCCTCGCATTGCATATGGGGAGCACTGCAACTATCCTCATCTCTTTTGGCATCATAACAGCTACACTGACGACCCAAGAAAGGCAATCACACACACACGTAAAATACCTGGTACAGAATCCGTCTTCCCTAAAATCCCCGATGGGCACTGCCACACTCTGCCTGGGAAACTCCTGTCTCACTATAGCTGGCAGGCTCCAGCACTGTGAGCCGTCGGCACCTGTGGCTGCAGAGAAGCCCAGCAGGATCTGCTTCTGAAGCAGTGATGTCTCCACCTCTGACTGGCCAATGTCAGGTGTTAAGTCCCAGCAAGGGAGGGAACTGGCTTTCAGCGCAGGCTGCTCTCCACCTGGACAAATGCTAAAAGTCGCACTGTCTGGAACACGGAGATTCTGAAAAGGCACAATGCAGAAAGAGCAAGTTAATTGTGGTAAGATGGCAAAGTCAAGCTATCCAAAGCACAACTTCTAAGAAATCATAAACCACATGTTCTCAGAACGTGGTTAGGTTGCAGCCATGGAATACTAGAAACGCTGTCTGTACCAGGGAGCCCCAAGACTGCTCATCATAAACTGACCCTGTGGTCGCTGCATGTCTGAGTGGCTGGCCCTGACCAACATCACAGGGCTGGGGTGACACAAGGTCTTCACGGTCTACCAGTTGTTACAATACCCTGATGCTACAGAGGGGCTGGAGGTGAGAACCCCCCTGGACTGGTACGGACACGCTCAAAGGGTGTGGTTTGCTGAGGGACACAGGCAGCTGAGAGGGAGCCTACGGACAAGTCATGCTTAAGGATTATCCTGAGGGTGGAGTTGATGCCAATTCCAGCCTTCTGGTGCACACTTCCTGGCACACTGGAAAATCTCAGTCCAGACCGCCACACAGAAAAGTGACGGCCATTCAATCTGGAGTTTGGATTTTCCCCACTACTTTGAGAGGTTAGGGACAATCTTTGTGGTTTTTTGTTTGGCTGGTTTTTTTTTTCCTTTTATTTTAAAAAGATTCACTTATTTGAAAGAGAGAGAATCTTCCATCCACTGGTTCAACTCCCCAAATGGCTGCAACAGGAACCAGGTACTTCTTTGGGATTCCCCACGTGGTGGGCCCAAGTACCTGGCTTTCCCTGAGCATATTCGTAGGAAGCTGGACTGGAGGTAGGGCAGCTGAGACAAACCTGTGCCCATATGGGATGCTGGTATCGAGGCTGTCGGCTTAACCCAGTATACCACAATACTGGCCTCTACTGATTTAATTCTCAAACTCTTTCGGGAATTCATTATTGTGCCCATTTTAAGGAGGAGAAAATGTCAGCATAAAGACCCCTCATCATGTTTCCAGGAACTCATGGGTAGGGAGAGGCAGTAAAATTATTAGGACACACACTGATTGCTGGTCAAGTCCTCACTCACTGTGCAAATCTTGGTGACCCCTGTTTCCCAGCTTGGTAGTCAATGGGAAATTTCTGGTCACCTATTTATTTTATCAACACCTGAAAGACCCAGGATGACATTTTTATAAATACCATAAGCACACTGTAAGATCTGAATCCCATTTGTTTGTTCTCAAATAAATTTCAGAGGTTGCTAATAAGGGGCAATGATAAACTACAGAGGCAGGTAAAGAAAGGTAAGACTTTCCTAAACCAAAGTTTCACTAGCATAAAATGACAGCCTACCACGTTGCACATGTGTTTTTTTTTAAGTTCTGTTAAATCCCTCCTTATTGTCTTAAAAAGCTAACTGTTCATTTTGATTGTACAAAGAGCTGAAGTAAAAATCCCTCTAAACATTCTTGGCTTTACTTCCTGTATGTAAACAGAGATGAGCTGCTACATTTGCATGTCAGTGTCTTTGCACACACACAGCTTGCTGCTCCCAGACCTCCCCCGCCCCAGCTTTCTGCTCACATGGCTGGCTCCTGGGAGGCAGATGTTGGTTTTGTGGGACTGGGGAGCCCATCACGAGGCCCTTGTTCCTGCTTGTGGTAGTTTAGCCAATGTGCTTGCGGGTTGTGCTGGAGCCGCTGGCCAGATGTGTTGCAGGCAGCACCCGCTGAAGTGTGTCAGCTGCTTGGTTAGATTTCTGCTAATTGCCTTGGAGGCACCGAACAGGACATCAGGCTTTTAGTTACAGCTAAAGTCAGGGAATTGCTTTTGACCTGTCTTCCTTTGATGGTCGCTTTGCATTTGCCCTGTGTTAAGCCTACCTATTTATTGTTAATTTATCCTAATGTGTACAAAACCACCAGGGTTTGATTGCTTACTTCCTTTCCAGGACATGGAGTGGAGACGACTAACTGAGGCTTATAGAAGATGTGGTATGGCGTGTTGTTGATGATCATGGTCTTGTCTTCAATCTGAATGATCTGGATACCTTGCTGGACCATGGAGGAGATGCAGAACTGACACAACTGCAAGGCAAGGAAGGAGACAGAAAGTGAGACAGTGTAACCCGGTAGCAGAAGCCTCTGGACTGGTCCAGAAAGGGTATTTTAGCCCTGATTTGCTTAGGATGGCATCAATTTCACCCTTTTCCACAGCATTTGATAGCATTTCCTTTCAGTTTCCAAAAATCCTAGGCCCAGGAAGAGGTTGGGATTTACACCACGGTACTTTAGCAAGGCAGTGGCTTTTGATGCTTCTGTGCAGGGACAGATGAGTCTTGCCTTCCAATTATTCCACAAACTACCTCACAAAATGCTCAAAGAGGCCCTGAGATGGAGCTGAGTGTCGCTCATTGTAACCACAGAGTTCAGTCGAGCTCCTCAGAGAAGTTCTGAGCCCTAATATGACAGCGATGATGATCAAAGGCGTCCTGACTCTCACATGTTGTTTGGCTACATTGCACTCTACCTGGTATGAGTACTTTGAATATTCACTCACAAAACCCTCACTCTGTCTACAAAGGGTGATTACTGCTACTCCATTTTAAGGAAGAGGAAAGAGGGGCAGAAGGCAGAGAAGTAACTTGCCCAATTTGCAAACATGAGTCTAACTGGGTTTGGAAGTCATGTTGTCTGGATCTAGGTGTAACTTTTTTTTTTCTCCTATTTCAAAGTCTGAGTTACAGAGAGAGAGAGAGACAGAGAGAGAGACAGAGAGACAGACAGACAGACAGACAGACAGACATAGACAGAGACAGTGATCTCCCATCCACTGTTTCTCTTCCCCAAATGGCCACAATGACTGGGGCAGGGCAAGGCTGAAGCCAGGAGGCAGGAGCTTCTTCTAGCCTCCCACATGGGTGCAGGGGCAGAAACACTTGGGCTATCTTCTGCTACTTTCCCAGGCCATTAGCAGGGAGTTGGATTAAAAGTGGAGCAGTTAGGACTCCATCTGGAATTCTAGCATACAGGTATCATCAGCTTTAACAGTTACATCAGTGAAAGGCCCTGGGTGCCACTGTTAACTACTTGGATTATCTCATTGCCATTCCATGTTATTATATAAGCAATTGATATGTAAAGGTATTACCTACCTAAAGATACTCATGCAGTAAGTGAAAATATCAGCACAGTGGTTACTCTCACAGGGTGCTCTAGGGACCCAAGGGAGTCCCTGAGAAGGGGGTCCCAAAGTAAAAACCATTTTTAGAATAATAAAGATCTTAATATGAAGATGTTCTTTATCTTATTCTTAATCTCCTCATGAACACACAGGAAAGGATCCAGGATGCCATCACCATGATGGGTAATAAGAATATGTCTGAATAGTCTTGGCATTTTGAACATTTGTTTTATTTTTTTGTAATACTGACATAATACATAGGATAATGGACCTCTTAGAATCTTGAATAAATTTTAAGAGTGTAAAGGCATCCTGAGACTAGAAAGTTTAAGATTTACTAGTAAAGAATAATAAGACATGAATACATTTTCCAACAGTTCATTCATTCACTCACATTTATTTAGTACTTGCTGTAGCTACTTTGTGAAGTGCTAGAAGAGTAGGGTGTTTGACTATATATTATAACATTCTCCTCCTGGTTTTGATGGTAGTTCTCAACTAACAACTATTCAACTTCGGGTGATTCATGCTTACAGCTCTTTGCCATTTACACCCATGTTACAGCACTTTGGCCAGCACAGCATAAACATGTGTTGCCCAGACAACTTTGAGGAGATGGATACCAGCCTTGAATACTGAAGAAATCCCAAGTTCTTGTTTCAGACACATTTAGTTTTTTTTTTTTTTAAATTTCCAAGCTCAGCTACCTCCTAAACTCTTCTCAAAGTGCTCTTCAAAGATACCCATCGAAAACATAACATCCCCCCGACCTGCTCACAGGAAGGTCATTCTGTATTTAGCTACTCTGGAAGTATCTCTTCTATTTTAAAGCTTTCATTTTTTCTATATTTATACTAGGGGAAAGAGAAGAGTGGGAGAGAGGGAGGGAAAGACGGAGGGAGAGAAAGACACGGAGAGAAATCTTGTTTGCTGGTCCATTACTCAAATATCTACAACAGCCTGGCCTGGGTCAGCCTGAAGCTGGGAGCTAGGAACTCGGTCTAGGTCTGCTGCAAGGCAGGACTCCACGCACTGGAGCCAGCACCTGCTGCCTCACAGTTCGGAAGCTGGACTTGGAAGTGGAGCTGAGACTCAGTACGCATACTTCTCTATTCGTGTCTCTTTTTCCTTAAAGATTTATTTATTTGAAAGGCAGTTACAGAGAGGGAGGGTGAGGGTGGTCTTCCATCTGCTGGTTCACTCCTCAAGTGGTCCCTGTAGCAGTGTTTTAACTGCCTGTCCCAAAGCATCCACAGAAAAATCAGAACTGACCCAGCCCACTCTGCTCAGGACTCCATGGCAGGGCTAGAACCCTTGCCGTGGGAGCCTCCGCCCTCGCACTCAGTGTTTAAGAATGTCAGCAACTCCACTTCCTGCTCTAGAAAGGGAGGCCTAGTACAATTTATAGATATTTTGGAATAAGTTCATTCCACCTCCACACATTCCCCCTCACCCTCACCCCGAACTGCATACTATAAATCAAGTGACTGCTGAGTGTTCTGAAATGGCGTGGTTATTGGATAAATTATGTGTCACAGCTTTTATCACTGGTAAAGAAGAAAAAAAAAACACTGTCAAACAGAGAGGTCTAAAGTTAAGAAGTCAAGTATTCCACTGTTATAAACTATTCAGAACAAGCAACACTAGGAAGGGTGTCACAGAAGAAAAGGACAGGCTCACTCGAGGTGGGAAAGGAGGGCAGGCACCCTCTGCCCCGAGCCGCACAGACTCTGTCTTACCTTCTGATGCCCTGGGAAAGCACCGAGCCGTATTTCGGCATCAACAAATGCTTCTTCATCCAGGGCCACGACTTCACTATTACCTCCGTCTTTCCACTTTGGAGATGTCAAGTTATGGACCAGTTTAATCGCTACTGACTTGTGCACAGTGTTTGTATTTGCCCAGTATATTCCAATTTGAAAGGCTTCCTGGAAAAATAATACCTCAATTATAAAATATTTTTCTAAACGTTGATACTTTTTTACCTCAGCCCTCAGGAATTTTTTTTTATTATTATATAATACATCTACTAAAGCAACCAAATATCCTATGATTTTTTTTCTTTCTCTCTTGCTCTCTTTTTTTGTAACAGGAACATAGATTTTAGCTTCATTCTAGGTGTCTTTTTTGGATTTACAATGGAATTCATGTTTATGGAAGGGGTAAATAACCAAACTCAAAAGGCCCAAAAGGTGACTATACCAAAAGCTTAAAAAGTGAAGGTTTCATCTTGTTTGACAAGAGAATAACATGCAAACATTCATATAGGTCACCATTCCAATTCCATAAATTAACACTGTCTAAATGTTAAAACACAAGGAGGAAAGATTAAATTAAATAAAGATGTTTATGGACTGGATTCTTTCTAAAAAACTTAAATTGCTTTCTGTCAAGAAAACTTTTTCAGAAGTTCTAGTCCCTTATACAGTTATATAGGTCTTCTTGAAACATACTAGCCTTATAAAAGTTCTTTTGGGACAGAACCTAAAATTTTCCTGGAAATTTTTGTTTTGTGAATAGATTTTGTTTCCTGAATCACTAATGAGTACATATTGTTATAATCAAATGGGTGGGCATCCAGATTATGGACACCACGTCAACCAATGAGGAAAAAGGAGCCCTGCCAAAAACAGTTGCTCAGGAATCCTTAACACCTTGCAGATCCCAGAGACTGTCCAGCAAAACTACAAAGAATATCCAAGGGGAACTTAGCATACAGTATTGCAGACCAACTCTAAGGCTTGTCAAATATCCTCACATATGATGGAAATGAGAATGTATCTAGTACAAGGTATCAAATTTAATGATAGTTCAAGCATGAATACTGCTGATGGGGGAAAAAAAGACATCTGAAAAGTTTCTGAATATCAAAGAACATTCCATACTCCTTAGGTATGCATCTATGAGGGCAGTTTTCCATAACTGATTCATTCTGTTAAGACCATAAATGCAACCTCAGAATAAAATGTAGTTGTTGAGAGAAAAGAATTCGTATTACTTGAAAAGTTATGGTACCTGAAAATTAGGAGGAATAATAACTTTGCCTGCAGGAACCTGTAGAACAATCTTCTCTCCTTCAAACAGCCAGAGGTCCCACTTGGACTGATTGATCAGCAGGGCCCAAGGAAGAAGTTCTATCAGCAAGGTTCTAACATATGGCTTCCAGACTGACAGCTTCACCCGCATCGGGCTATCCCACTGGCTCAGCTGCTCATTCCTGTTCCAAATACCACATCCAAGAGACTCAATGAAATGTGATGACTTCAGTATTCATGGAATATATTTAAGGATTCCAGACACACAATGTGACCATGTGACACCTCTTCTTACCAGAGCCATCCAATGCTAAATTTGCATATAGGAGAAGCCAACTTTTCATGCAATTCTGTTATAGACTATGATTGTAAAACTTTACAAAACATATACCCGCTAAATGATGAAAAGAATTTACAGATACATGCAAATACCCTATTTTCCTTATGTCATTTATTGTATCTAATATTTTTGTTTGTGAATAGTCATTCCCTAATGTTAAGAAATGTTTTTAGACACAGATGGTTTAAGAACATTACCTGTCAGAATCCTTCTTATTATAAGGCCATGTGGGTTGAATGGACTTTTCTCTTCCATAAAACTCATCAAGAATCTGATTCACTGTGCCTCCAGGCTGTACCTTAGTGGCTATCTGCTTAATGAGGGATGTGGAGATGGGAACTGCACAATCTGAAGGATCATATTCTTCTCTAGAATGTGGAAAGAAAACATGTGAATAATACCAGACTCATAAAGTGGTCTATATTATATATTAAGAAATATCTAATAATAAGTGTTTTATAAGCCAATACTTTTTATAGGATCAAGTCTGTTTTTGCTGATATAGGAAAGTATTCCAACTTTCAGGATGATCTGCGACTTAGCTTTTCCTCTTTCTCATCCTGCCCCGCCTCCCAAAAGTTGGGTGAGATTTTCAGTTGGCTCTTTGTTCGGTACAGAAATCATTTAAATGTAAATCTAAATTAAATTTCTTCAAGACCCTTCTTGTTTATTCCCAAGTTTATTCAGTAAGTCTAGATTTTGTGTAAAACTATAGAAGAGAGTAAGAGAACTAGGTAAAGCAGTTTTAAAAAGAAATATTCTTATGGCATACATACAACTCCATGTGTGCCTCTCCCTCACCAACAGTACCAGATTCTGCTTCCACTGAATTCCTCTCGGGAAAAGGTAAAGAGTTTTTCAAGTACCTTGCTTGAAATGTTAGGTGATGCACAAGGTCAGGTTCTATGTTTTGCAGTGTTTTTTCCTGGCCTTTTCCTGGAATAACTTGCGTTTCACTCAATCCCAAACTCCTTTTCTCCAAATGTATGATAATGGGGTCTGGAAGATGACTCCTCATGATAAAAAGAGGACTGAACACAATCTATAAAAATAAAAAGGCCAGAACAACTTTCATATTTGCTTTGTTGCAGTATTCCAGCTGTTTGATGCTGAAACAAACTTGCAATAAATCTCTTCTCTGGGTCACTCTGACCTTAATTTAGTTCAGAACAGGAAAGGTCAGAGTCATATACCATATTTTAGGATTGGGAGAACACTCACCATTCGCTGCTGCACTTGAGAGTTGGGTTCCAAAGTCAAAACTGTGCACCAGACATAAATAATGGAACTGTTTGAAGATGGCACCTGCATATGAGATAGAGAAAGGACTGACCAGTTTACTACTTCATCAGAATACAGATACAGTATCAGTTTGGAAGATATGAAAAGCTTACAGTTACAGAGAAAAACCTTTTAAATGCCAACTAAGCAAAAACAGACTTTATTATGGCATAAAGAGAATGCACAGTGAGTTGATGAAGCCAATTCTTTCCAGAAAGATGAAGGAGGGATTTGTATGAGGCTGAGTGGGAGAGTGACAGGGAGATTTTATTCTTTGTGGGAATCACACTGAATATGGTAAAGACCAAGGAGAGGTTAAAAAAAGAAGCCAGAGACCATCACAGATTACATAGTGTGAAAACGATCCCACAGTCCCATCCCAACCCACCCCCAAGCCCCGGTGCACAACAATCTTGCTCCAGAATTAACTTCTGGGAGTGACAAAGTCCCGGCTGTAAGTATACTAGAACTGACATGAATGTGTTGCATGTGGGAGGAGGAGGAGACAGTTGCAGAAGTTCTATTCCAGCCTTCCGATACTATTTCATGCCTCCAACCTTCATTATTTCTAGATGAATTGCAGGTGTTAAGTAAAGCACACACTAAGAAAGTTTCCATGTCAAAGCTGCTACATTCTGTATTGTATGACTTCTCATACCTGAATGACACTGCTGTATTCAGGGGCTTTGGATTCCAGACACACATCTCTTGACCAGTCTTCATCTCCTTTGGCCTTCACGCACAACTCTGTCAGCTCACTGTTTTCTAGTATGTACGAAGGCAATTTCTGCTTGGCTGTGAGACAGTCAAAATGTTCTCGAACCACAGCTTGTCCATCTTGACCAATGTAATGCTGAACAACTTTTAGTTCTATGCTTTGAGACAAGTAACTGCAAATGATCTGTCTCCCACAGATGATAATCTAAGAGACAAAAAAATTGACACCCAGGGCTTCTTTAGTTCAGACCAGTTATTAGAAATAGGTAATCATTTACATAAAGTACGTTGATGTTACTGTGACAAAAAAACATGAAGTCATTAGCTTGGGTAGTGTAAGGAAGAGACTTGAAATCTGCTCACCTTGAGTTTGCAAGTACAGATAAATAGGATGGCCCAGGAGCTTGAGAAGGAATGTGTAGCTACAGATAAACACTTGGGTAATAAAACCTTGCTAACCCACCAGGCAGAAGCAGTGTACGTGGAGGACAGGGTGGCAACACAAACCTAGGAGCCTGCAACTACAGTGCAGATTAATGGGAAGCAAGAGGAGGGGCCAAGAAGAGTGAAGCAATATGGAGGTGGACCAGGAGAAAGCAGTCTTACTCAAGCAATAAGAGAAATGACTGACTGGAGGGTAGGTAGCTGGTGGTCAAACCAATCATGAAGTCTAGGAGTCAAAAAGGATGGCAACGGAGCATTTAGCTCTGCAACTAAGACAGCAATTTTGACAATTTCTGGAAGCTAATTTTCAAGGCTTTACTGCACTCTCATTCAGTAAGAGATCTCTGTATAAACTGAGAATACAATCTTTAGTTCAAGATATATTATTTTATTCCAGGTTTTCTACACTGTAAAACTGTGTCTTTTTATAAAACACAAAAAATTATTCACCAGTTCCACGGATTGTCTGATTTTGCACTTAAGAGTATACTTCATAGCAGGTGTTAAGAAATGGAAAAGGTAATGACACATGTATTCATATGCATGGAATACTTTTAGAAAGATTACTTGTGTAATGTGAAATTACATTATGACTGGGAAAATGGGACTTTCACATATTAGATTTCCTATCTGTAATATTTTTATAGGTTATAAAATAACTGTATTATATACATAAACATGTAGTGGTTAATCTTAATGTATCAATATGATTGGGCCATGGAGTGCCAATCCCATTATTCAACTATTATTCTAAGTGAGTTTTCTTGATGAGATTACCATTTGGCTTGGTAGGAAGAGTGAAGCAGATGGCCCTCCACAACGTGGGTGTGCAGTATGCAAGCACACATAAGCACGTAAGAGGGACCACCTGTGCTGACTGCCTGAGTGGGACTTTGGTCTCTTCCAGCCTTCAGCCTTAGATTGAAACAATGGTCATTCCTGGGTCTTCCTGGAACTTCATGCTGTTAACTCCCCTGATTCTTAGGCCTTTATAGTCTGTCTAGAACTCCACATTGGCTGTCCAAAGTGGTTCCGGGAGATACAGGCATAGCTGTATCTACATTCATGTTAGTTAATTTTAATCAAACAACATACTGGCACCCTGTCCTTCTCTACCACTGCCTAATTTTATCTGGAGAACCCTAATCCATGCAAAGCTTTCTCACAAATAACCTCTCTTGTCCTCCCAGGAGCCTGTGTGGGTGCTGCTCTGACTCCCCATCTAGCAAGGAGAAAATGTCAGCAGAGTTACTGAATAATTTCCCTGCTCTCATTCAGCTCAGTTGGGTGAACACTGTTAAGCTCTCTAATAGCCTGTCACATTAAAAAGATAAAAAGAGAATAAAGATTGCCCATTATGACACTAATGTGGCAGACACCACTGGTTCCCTCTCCAATCACTGGTCCTGCCTTTTCCCTGGAGGTTAAAAACTGATTTGATTTTCATATCGAAACACGGCCAAGTACCCAGGGGAGCTGGCCATCTCCCTTGCCCCAAGTGCTACAGCATAACTGTTATCAGGTGATCCTGGCCATTCCCCTTTGAGCTGTGATCAGTTTAGGGGTGAATGTGGGACTCTATCTTGGCTAACAGCATGAACAGGGAAGACTGGTAAAAAGCTCTGAGGATGGACTTTATTCTCGATACCTGGGGGACACTTGGGCAAGCAGAAGCCCTCCTTTCCCCTCACAGAGGATGGTAGGAAGGGAGCATGAGGCTTTGGTGGCACAGAAGATGCTATGAAGGGGGCAAGTGGCTTTTGTAATCATCTTGAGACTAGAAGGCAAACCAGATGTATGGCAGAAAAGCAGAAGTGGCACTGAATTGCTCAGTCAGTCAGCACTGAACTTCCAGAGTTCTGTTACACAAAATCATTTTGTAACTTCACCTGCAAGTGTCCCTTCTGAAGCATCTGCCTCCATCATTAAGAATTCCCTATACTCGGGCCCGGCAGCATGGCCTAGCGGCTGAAGACCTCGCCTTGAACGCACCGGGATCCCATATGGGTGCCAGTTCTAATCCCAGCAGCTCCACTTCCCATCCAGCTCCCTGCTTGTGGGCTGGGAAAGCAGTTGAGGATGGCCCAAAGTCTTGGGACCCTGCACCCGTGTGGGAGACCTGGAGGAGGATCCTGGTTCCTGGCTTTGGATCAGCGCAGCACCGGCCGATGCGTTCACTTGGGGAGTGAGTCATTGGACGGAAGGTCTTCTTCTCTATCTCTCCTCCTCTCTGTACATCTGACTTTGTAATAAAAATAAATACATCTTAAAAAAAAAAAGAATTCCCTATACTCTTCACTTTTAATGAACTATTAGAGAAATAAATTGGACTGATAAACCAAAAATTAAATATTATTGTCACTTTCATTACTGGAAGAGTGAGACTTAGCATTTCCCTACACATCTGTCTTCCAACTTTCTTTACAAAGGGCACAGCTATAAAACCTAGTTGTGCCTAACTGTTCTGTTCTCCTCATCCACATAGTTCAGCATTGTAATTTTTGAAACCATGCTCTCACAGTAACAAACCATAAAAGCCATAGAGCTGTGACTGCTAAGTCAGCAGGCATGTTTTTTTTTTTTTTTACCATGTGCTACCAGACACTCATGCCAAGTCTGATGGCATCCCATCACCTAACTTGAAATAAAAAATGGAAAACTCAGAGGCAGTCCTGAACTCTTGTTCCTATCCCCGATGTACCCAGACCTGCTCTGACGTGCGCACAGCCCTCGCTTCCGGACCTCTGGAACACTGGAGACTCAGAAGAGATTTCTGCCATCTTTCAGAGAACTTCTGTAACTATCTGGGAGTCACTTTGTTTAAAGACAAACATCCTATGGTGGGTTGGTGCAGTTTCATTTTGACTCAAAAGCCTGTTAAATTTGTTAAATAGGTTTTCAAATTTGATAACAAAAGAATCCTTCCAAGTGGGAGGGGCAGGAAGGCTGTAGAGATGAAGGAAGATCCGGAATGGTCACTCTTCAGCCTGGTGCTCCTTCCCCGACGGCTCCAAGCAGGGCTCCTGGGAGCTAGGTCTGCTTTTCCTCAATGTGGCAAAACTTACAATGCATTTACTTTGAAAACTATAGTTAGAATTTCTAGCTTAATTTATCAGTTGACAACAGCAACTTAATTTCTGTAAATGTAGGATTTTTCTTTAATACACATTTGCAGGTTTCACCCGAATTCTCCTTTTTTCCCCCAAAGCCACCACGAGCTGTATTGAAGATTTCCACATATGATTTTACTTAGCAGGTTTCAGAACTCTTATTAGATCAGTGCCAAGAAGAATAGTGATGTTAAAGAATAACTCCAGAGCACCAGATGCACTGGAAAACGATATCTTAACCATGATTAAAAGTGCATGTATAAAGACGTACATACACATACATATCTAAGTACACTCGAGTTCTTAGGATGCTAAAGTTTTCTTCAACTTAGAAACGAGAAACACGAGCAAATACGTGTATATGAGTAGTTTTGTAATGACAAAGTTCCAGAGAAATTTTCTATGTGGTCAATTTTCATTCATTTGGGGGAAATGAGAGGGATACAGGAAAGACAGAATAGAGATAACCAAACAAAGTTTAAAAAAAGAGCTTTAGCCAATTCTCCATTATCCAGGGGCATATTCATGTACTTAAGGTACATCAGGGATCTGCGCACACTCTCCTTCCCAAACGGGCCTTGGTAATTAGGCAGCTGTGGTTTATTATAAATTTCCAGGCCCAGGTGGGGTAGAAGGAAAGCAGCCAAGAAATGAAGCAGGCCAGGGTCCACGGAGCTCTCCCGAAGCTTCGATCCTTTCTTCCTTCCTAGGCCTGCCAACTGAGGAAATCCTACGTCTCTGATGTACTTTAATGAGAGCTAATCTGAACGTTCAACTATTCTGACAGAAAAAAATGAAATCCAATTGAAAAAGACATTTCAAATCTTTGCATGTAGGAGTGTGTGTGAGAGAGAGAGAGAGAGAAAGAACTTGCACAAGATAACGAGAGAGACAGGGAGGGAGAGAATGGGGAAGAGGGAAAGAGTGTGACTATTTTAGGATGTATTTTTCAAATGACAAACTCCTTTGACATCTGTACTGTGTAATATCTGTGCAACAGCATTCCACATATTAATTTACCCCTGAAATATAACAGCATTCCTTGAAAGTATGAGGTACTACTATAATAAAACAACAAAGTCCTGGGCCCAGCATGGTGGCCTAGCAGCTAAAGTCCTCGCCTTGAATGTGCTGGGATCCTAATATGGGCACCGGTTCTAATCAAGTGGCCCTTCTTCCCACCCAGTTCCCTGCTTGTGGCCTGGGAAAGCAGTTGAGGAAGGCCCAAAGCCTTGGGACCCTGCACCCCGTGGGAGACCCAGAAGAGACTCCTGGTTTTGGATTAGCTCAGCTCCAGCTGTTGCAGCTGCTTGGGGAGTGAATCATCAGACAGAAGATCTTCCTCCCTCTCTCTTCCTTCCTCTGTATATCTGACTATCCAATAAATAAATCTTTAAAAAAAAAACCCAACAAAGTCCCAAAGAGTATTATTTGTGCCTGAAAATACTACATATAATGCATTATAATATTTGTCACTAAAACTCATGGGGCTGTAACAGAGTGAGCCAGGTATGCTGGGAACACTGCATACAGACTCACTTAATCCTTGTGCTATCTTCCAAAGGAAGGTAGCATTACTGTTCTTGTTTTAGAGATCAGAAAATTCATTCACAAAGGAGTTAAATAATTTGCTGGAAATCACAGGCCATAGGAAATGATACAACTAGGTGGCCTACAATGACATTACTGTCATGATGTATCACTTAAACCACTGATCACAGAACACTGCTGGTAAGTGTTCTAGGAACCATAAGCAGAAGAGTTCGATACATCTGGCAAAAATGGTCTCAAAGTGCAGCCCCTGGACCAGGGGCATCAGCACCAGGACATACCTGAGACCTAATGGAAACTGAAGGTGTGGGAGGTGAACCGAAAGATCTGTGTATGAACAAGCCTTTTGTGAGGTCAGGATGAACGTTACTCAAGTTTGAGAACCCCTGGTCTAGGGTGTAGGACACTAGGGGGAAGCGGACCAGCTCCCCATCTGTGGCATGCTGATCTGTGGAGACCTCACAATGAGTTATGGCGTACTTGTTATGCATGTCTCACAGGTAAAAGCTGACTGTAGGCTGGTAGATTTTGATAAGAATCAAGCAAGAATTCCCTAACAGCTGGTGGTAACCAGCAAGGGAAAGGGCTGCTATGTGCCTCATGTCATCTGAACTGCGAAGACACAGAGGGACCTGAGGCTCTGACATGCTGGTTGTCAGGATGGCAGACAAGGCATTTAGGAAAGACCATGAGTGACGGAATCAGGAAGCTGGTGTGCGTTTACTTCGCACCTACTGGAAGTGTATGTACGTAGGGAGCTGGGGGAAAATCAGATCAGTGACTTCTGCTCTCCTGACTCTTTAGGTCAAAGCTCACGTTCTTGGGCTGGTCCCACACGAGTCCTGCAGGTAGACCCACCTGTACCATTTTTGTGGCTTGTTTATGTAATTCTGTTTACTTGGAATGTGTGCTCTTAACTCAAATACAGCATCTTTTTCAAAACCTAGCCTGTTTTGTCATTTTTCCATGGATTCTATTTATGTGTTTTTTATTTGTATAAAGAGAACAGTTTTCATGTGGTTCATAGCTACAATTCTAAGAATATAATAAGACTTCCTCACTCTCCCCCTCTTCCTTCTTGTCTTATTAAAAATTCCTACGATAACGTATTTTTAATTTACTTTATAACTGCCTCTTAACTCCCTTCACACTTACTGCTACCTGTATGCCTTGTTAGGTTTATGTGAATTTGCAGCTTAAGTATGTATCATGTCACATACTTGGTGTCTTCCATTTTTATCCTGGTAGGCAAACAATGATTGTTCTGATGGATGATCAGGGAACTGACCAGAATCTCCCACGCACTATTTGAGCTCCTCTGCCAAAGCTTTCTTTTCCTTTCTGCCGTCCATCACAAGGACATGAAGTCCAGCTCCCCGATTAGGTGAGCTCAGTGCCTGCTGATCACCAGGGAAGCGCCCTTCTGGGCTGTCTGTACCAAGTCCTCAGCTTACATAAGCAGCGACAGACTCTGAGAAGGCAGATGCACATGCATATGTTAAAAGTCTTATGACAAATCCAGTTATTATGTGCACAATGAATCCAGTTCTCAGATTTTAATACTTCCTTTTTTTTCCTTTCTACTCTTGTCATATGCTCCATGCTTGAAAACCATCTTTTTAGAAACCACATTTTCACATCTTAAGAACACAAAAAAGTGTCAGACACTTTTTTTCCTTCTGCAGTCTTAGAACTTCAAAAACAGCCAAAAGGAAGTTTTATAAAATACATTAAAAATATGTGCTGAGAGCTGAGGTTTTATATGCCAAAAGTTGGACTGCAGTGAAGTTTTACTGCAGTTAATATTAACTCCTAGGAAAAGCAAGGCTTGCTGGAGACCCCGGCCCTATTATGAAGAGTATCACAACCCTTCCACACATGCTTCTCACAGACGAGAGCACCAACTCCTGCTTCTCCACCAGTGGATTATCCAGAGTCCCTGCCACCCTGCGCTTCCCTTGTTTCTTAGTGAAGCCTGCCTGGCTATTTCACAGCTCATTAGCACCTCTCTCAGAAGGTAGGTGATGAAAGGAGAAGAGGTGAAATGAAAATCAGTAAATTTTACTCCTCATTAGCAGCTCTTGTAAAAGAGGTGAGACAAAGGGTTTGAAGCCATCATCATCACTATCGGCATCAACAGTTCAGGAAGTGTTCACTTGCAAGGCGAAAGCAGGCACCACTGGGCCATATAGCCACTGTGGTTCTTTCATTACAAATTATTTGCACTCACGGACATTTCATCTCCATTCCATCAAGTAGCTCTTGAGTTATCAGTGTCACAGGCACAGAGACACTTACCTGCTTTTGCACTCCAGCGAGCTGCTCAACCTTGATGATGAGTGATGCAGTTCGACCCTTGTATTGAATGGTTCGAATGAAAGTTCCGGCATGGTCCACGCTGAAGGGCTCTGACCATCGCCAGTTGCCCCAGCCTTCAATACAGATGTGCAGCAGCTGGACAGAAAAATAATAATCGTCATAATGCCAACTGTGCCAACAAAAATCTAGTCCTAAAATGAAAGTCTCATTGCTGGAAAACCTTTCTATTTGTAATATTTAGCATCTGTTTTCTTTCTAACCTGCATTATTCATCCACTTCCAGCTTACTCTACCAGGCTAAGAATAGCAAATATGCCACGTAGAGTCAATGTGGTTTTCCAGATCACATCTTAAACCTTCTTAAAAATAATTGTCCTATCAAATGGTAAAAGGCCTGTTAAACATTTGAGAAAAGACTGTTTCATTCATCTGGAGGACAAGAAGGTTGAAATGTGAGATCAAAGAACCTTGGTCGTGGTTGATAGTTTATTCCTTCTTATGGCTGGACAGTAATTAAAGCTACATTTGGTTTATGGCATTATTTTTGATCCTAAATTGCCATTCGTTATTTTTTCTTTTGATAAAGAACCAAAATAGCAATTTGAAGATGTGGTTCATTTAACATACTCTCCTTATGGGGATCACATGTATCAAAATTAGAAATACCTTCAACATTCTGCATGTAAGATTAAAAAAAAAATTTTTTTTATTCTTTTACCAATTGAGTCTCCCAATTCATTTTTGTACTTATGTATATATAGTATTGCTTTATTTTGTGGTCTTTTCAATGTTTTAAAAAATTTCTATTCTTACAACATTTCTATTTTACAACATCTAAAAAAATACATATCAGTTTAAGGGGCCTGCATGTGGCACATCGGTGTAGAGGGTTGAGCTACTATCCGAGTGCTGGCTCTTGGTCCTGGCTACTCTGTTTATAATCACTGCTAATGCGCCTGTGAAGGCAGCGGTGGCCCAAGGACCATGTGGGAGAGCAGGATGAAGCTCCTGACCCATGGCTGCAGCCTGATCCACATTTTGCTTTTGTGGCTATTTGGGGATTGAACCTGGGGAAAGAAGATCTCTTTCTCTCTCTAATAAGTAAATCTTTCAATAAGTTCAACTACATATGTAACCAGAAAAACATGACAATCAGCACTTGTTTAGGATATATTTAAAATTTATTTTATTTGAGAGGCAAGGAGGGAGAGTAGACAGTTTCTTTATACACTGGTGCATCACTCAAATGCCCACAGCAGCTGGGGCTGGGTCAGGTCAAAGATTAGCCTAGAAACTCTAAACAGGTCAGGAGCCAGCGGGATGAGCAGGGACCTAAACGTTGGAGTGGGCACCATACTGCCATCCAGGGCACACCGGAGCAGAGCACTGAAATGAAGCCAGATCAGGCAGGGAACTCATTTCATGCCTCCCAACAACTTCCCAGCAGGGACCAAACATCTTGATCCAACACTTGCAGCTTCCCAGGGTACACATTAGTAAGAAGCTGGAATTGGAGTGGATCTGGCATTCAAATTCAGGAACTCTGATGGGGGATGTGATTGGCTTAATAGGCATCTTAACTGCTAGGCCAAATGACTATTATTTTTTACTAACTAAAGGAGAATTTCCTGAAATAGTCTCAACCAACAGAGTCAATAAAAGACCAAAAACATCCCGTGAGAGCTATCATCACAAATACACAGGGATTTAAGCAGGGAGTTGTCATTATCTGATAGACATCAATTATTTCCAGCTCCAACCTAAGGAGGTATATCCTGATGATATGCTTTGGTTTTAAAATCTCATAAATTGGGCCCAGCGGCGTGGCCTAGCGGCTGAAGTCTTCGCCTTGAACGCGCCCGGGATCCCATATGGGTGCTGGTTCTAATCCCGGCAGCTCCACTTCCCATCCAGCTCCCTGCTTGTGGCCTGGGAAAGCAGTCGAGGATGGCCCAAAGCTTTGGGAGCCTGCACCCATGTGGGATACCCGGAAAGGGGTTCCTGGATCCTGGCATTGGATTGGCATAGCATGGGCCGTTGAGTTTACTTGGGGAATGAATCATTGGACGGAAAATCTTCCTCTTTGTTTCTCCTCTTCTCTGTATATCTGACTTTCCAATAAATAAATAAATAAATCTTTTAAAAAATTTCATAAATTACTGGCTATCACATTAGTTTTGATGGCTGACTAATGCAGGGCTTTTTTGTTTGTTTAAATACATGAATAGTATCTCTTCTTAAAAAAAAATCTCCCAACTTCTCTTCCTCTTTGTACACCCATGCAGCCCCACCCTCCCCACCAGCTCCAAACTGCCAACGAGACTGTGAAATCAAAACGCAACCAGTAAAGACTTTGCAAACAGAAGGTTAACAGCTGAGGAAAAAAGAAAATCTTGGGCAGCAAATTACCTTTAGGGAAAATATGGTCTTACAAATACTCTACAATATAAAAGTACCAGAGCATCTTTGATGTTTAAATATTCAGTACAGGGGAAAAAAAAAAAAGAAAAAAAAAAACCAATAGTACTGTTTGGAACCACTTCAGTATTTTCTTTTTTTTATACCAGCAATTGGGAATAAAGCACAGGGCACACACCAAACTGGAAGAAACCAGAACGTTGTTTTCTTTGGAAGAAAAAGTAGCTGGAAAAGAAAAAAAAAAAAGAGGAAAGGTACCTCAGGTCAAGTTCAGCTATATTTTTCCTGAACATTCCATGGACCCTAGAGACAGTTTTAATCTACACAATTTAATTGTAACTGAGGAGTGCTCACATTTGCATATGAGCTCAGTTTCAGATAGTGCTTCACTCTGTGGACCCAGCCTTAAACGACCGACTGCCACCAAGGACTACACTGTCAGATTTTGCTTGGCAGCTATTTGTTCTAGAAGGGTTGGCACAGACATTTTCTTTGAATTATGAAAATTCAGATACATTTGGACATAGTTCACACAGAAAAGCTAAGCGGGAGAAAAACATTTTATAACACTTCTCCCCACATGTCTCATCAATGGAATATTTGCAATGTCTGGTGTACTTCTTAAAAAAAAAAAAACCTAAATATCACTGGCAAGTAGGCGTATCTAATTTATTGGGAAAGGAATCCATTTTTAAAATATTGTTTGGTTATTTTTTAACCTTTTGATCTTTATTTCCTTGACAGGCAAATGGTGAGGATGGAAGGAGATAGAGAAAATGAGAGCGGGAGAGGGAGAAAACAGACGGGGTAGGGGGAGTTTCTCCTCTATCTGCTGGATCACTCCCCCAAATTCCACAGCAGACCGGGCTGGGCCACTTCAGGTCTCCCCAGGGGTTGGTGGAGACCCAAGGGAGCCCTTGAGCCATCAGCTGCTGCCTCCCAGGGTATGCCTTATCAGGAAGAGAGTCAGCCATAGGGTACACGGACACTCTAGCACGGGACAGAGACAGTGCTATGGGAGCCAGGCATCCCAAGAGGCACCGTAAGAGCTGCATAAACTGCTCGTCCCAACACTCACTGTAAAGGGAGAAACCGACAGAAAGGAATTCAAGACACCTGTCCTGCTTCCCATGGTGTCATCACCACTGCCTGAGACAACAGCCCTGGATGGTGGCGTTCAGGTACACACCCACAGACAGCACTGCAGCGTGTGTAAGGGAAGTTTGGCTATTACTGCACCCACTGCCTAAGCTTCATGGTTTTAGGTGCTGAAAGCCTCCATTTAATGACAAATGCTCATATTTATTTTTATTCCATACAGAATGAATAAAGGAAAATTTGTGTTAAGACGGATTCTAATGAGATTTCTTTCTATAACTCATCCACTATGTTTTTCACTACTCAAATATTTTAACAAGGGCAGCAAATTAGGAAGACACACTTTTAGAACTACAAGGATTTAACATTCTTATAGGAACAACATGGCAAGAAAAACGAACAAGACAGCAGTACAGGGGCACACAGGGAAGGGCCATCTTAAGTTGCTATTCAAGAAAGCTTCAGAAAGAGCTGGCTCACACTTCGGGTAGGATTTCAATTGGCAAAGATGACAGTTTACTCCAAAGAGGAAATCTGAAATGTGAGCAGAAGCCAAGCTTGGAGCAAAACTATGGTGCTCAAAAGGTGAGAGAAAGGGGGGCATGAGAAAGGAGTGGGAGATAAGTTCAGACAGGTCAGCTGATTTGGTGGCAAACACTGCTTAAGCCAAGGAAAATGCACTCAGGAATATGTGGATGGTGGCTGAAACCTCCTGTGGATGAGTGATGTGTGGATGGAAGAGCAGGATGCAGGAAAATTACAACAGACAGAGTGACAGGCAACATGGACAGAAATACGGGGAATGGGATAAGAAAGTCTTGCGCTATCCCTGTGCAGTCCATTGCCCAACATATTTTCTATGTTCTATTACCATTTTGGGAATTTTCTTTCTCTCTTCTCTCCTCTCCTCTTCCGTTCTCTTTTCTCTCTCTCTAGGAGCTTCCCTTACTGACTCATTTTCTCCACCCTCTTCCCATCAATCTAGGCTTTTGGGTACCCTTTTGGGTATTTATTTAGCTCCTATCTGATATTTTCCACTGGGAGGAAAAGCCAACTACAAACCACTCTTGTTGAAAGTTTTCAATGACAAGTGAGACTGAGCACCGAGGCAGGCTGTGGATTGGCCATGCTCTTTGGGAGATCCTGAGGGGTTACATTTCCTTCTTTGTCCAGCAGACCCCCCAGTACTGAACGCCTCAGATGGGAGTATATATCGCTTTCAACTCAGTTTGTATTTTTTTCCTTTTACACAAAGTATAGTATAAGAAAGAATTAGTAATGATGGAAGACCACCCACAGTTAGGTCCAAAGCGAGAATTCCTGAATCAATACATTCAGAAGTAAAGAAAAATAAGATGAAATCTAGGACAACAGAGTACATCAGGGAAGATGAAAAGATGGCTAAGTAAACATTTTTAAAGCTACATTTTAAAATATACAGGTAAAGGTATCAAATGCTTTTCTGTGAAATTATTTATTTAACTGTTTACTTTGAGATTAGTTGTCAAAATTTGTCTACCTCTAACTACAACTTGCAAATTTGCCTTCAGAATTGTTTGTGTGGTTTTTTTTTTATTTTATAGTAATACAGCCTATAGTAGATGTAATATTCTAAAAGG